TTGTTTTATTATCGCTGTCGCTTTTCATCTCGTAGTTGTTGCCGTCAGATTCCACGGTGGGTGTTGAGCGAATCAAGATTAGTGGCGCCCTTCGCGTCGTTTTGAAGAATTAAGTTCTCATTCTGCGGTCCAGGTAAGTCAGACTCTTCATCTCGACTTCCTGCCTCCCCGCTGGTGACGCTACTTTCCCGTTTCTCCTGGATGGTTAAACGAGATAACACATCAGTATTGGAATGCTTCCGTCCCGAGCGGTGGACTATTGTATAGTGGTACAGCTGAAGACGGAGAATCCATCGCGCTCTTCTACCCTTTAGCTTGAAAGTTTCCAGCCACTTGAGCACAGAGTGATCAGTTACCACCACGAATGGTTTCGTGCCGAGAGTGTGATGGAAATACTCAATTCCCCATATCACGGCTAGACACTCCTGCTCTGTCGTAGCATAGTTCCTTTCGGCCTTTGTCAAACTTCTACTGGCGTATACAATTGCATACTCCCTTTTTGCGTCATCGATCTGCGTCAAAACAGCCCCTAACCCCGTTCCAGATGCATTGGTGTGCAGGTAAAATGTCTTTTCAAAATTCAGATACCGGAGAATTGGGTCGGTCGTCAGGTGGGTCTTCAATCATTCAAATGCTAACTGTTGCTTATCTGTCCACTCATACCGTGCATTCTTTTCAAGTAATTGATACAATAGTTTGGCTATCGTCGTGAATCCGCTAATAAACCTCCAATAGTAGAAGGCAAGCCCAATAAAACTTCGTAGTTGCCTCATGTTCCCTGGTGCTGAAAAGTCTCTTACCTTCACGATCTTGTCCTCGTCTGGCCGGATGCTATCTCTTCTCACGACATAGTTTAGAAACCCTACATTCGATAAGAAAAACTTACATTTTTCCACGTTCAACCTCAACGAGGCCTGTCATAGCTCTCTAAAAACACAGGCCAGATGACTAGTGTGTTCTGGAAACATCCGCGAGTACACAATAATGTCATCGAGGTATACGGCCACGAATTTGCCAATGTGATCGTAGAGTACCTTGTTCATCAGTCTCTGGAATGTAGCCGGAGAGTTGTATAGCCTGAACGGTATCACTTGGAATTCGTATGTTTCAAACTTTGTCACGAAAGCCGTCTTCTTGCAGTCTCTCTCCTGGACTTGCACTTGCCAGTACCCACTAGCGAGGTCAAGGTTTAAGAACCACTTTGCCTGCCCAAGGGTCTCAATTAAATCATCGATTCTGGGTAAGGGGTGCGCATCTTTTTTGGTTATCACATTTAACTTCCGATAGTCCACACATAGGCAGCGCTTACCATTCTTTTTTGACACCATTACGATTGGTGATGCCCATGGGCTCCGTGATTCTAGTATCAGGCCCTGGTCTCTCATTTTCGTCAGTTCCCCCTTTACATATTCGTGCTCATCCAGGGTCAACCTATAGGGCGCTTGCTTGATCGGTTTTGCGTCGCCCGTATCAATCTCATGTTGGATCACATCGGTCTGAGTAAGTTCATTTAGCTCTTCGGTAAATAATCCTTTTTCTTTCTCAAAAAGTTTTGCTGCGTCTTCTCGATCCTCTTCTGTCAAGCCAATCAGGTCCACCCTCGGTTTCTCGTCCTCATACTTCTCGTCGTCCTCCAACGTTGGTATCTCCTCTAGGATGGTCAGATATACCGCTGGGCTCGGAATCCCTTTGTCCATCGTTTCTTCCTCCTCAGACTGTTCCCCTGTATAATACCTTTCCTCCTTTTCTACGTTCTCACTCTCATACTCCAACTCATCGAAAGTATCTTTACTCTCATCATCACTTACTTTCAATTCGTCGGGCCACGCCAACCCCTCTATACCGTTGTGTGAGATCAGTACCTCCAGTTCTTTCCCTCGATATCTCAACAGTATTTTCCATTCATCGAAGTGGATCCTGGCATTTCCTCTTTGGAACCAGTCAGTTCCAAGTAATAACGTCTCATCTCTGGACTCTATAATCCTTAGTGTCGCAGAGATAGTTACTCCTTGCACCATTATACCTATCTCTTTTACTTTCCCTAGGGTCCTCTCTCTTGTCCCATTCGCAGTGACGATGACGGAGGTCGACTTCTCATTGATCTTCAGCTGAAGTTTGTCCAACAATTTCTTCGTAACGATACTTACCGCTGCCCTTATGTCTAGGGTAGCTATTATCATCTGGTTTCCGATCTGCACATAGCATTTAGCTGCAGTGTTTTAGAAGTATCTATTGAGTTCACTTGGTTTGATTCCATCGAGGGTTTTGCCCATTTCAATATTTTCGAAAGGTTGCGCCGCTGATCGGTGTACTTCAGTAGTTGCCCGTAAGTTGCATTTGCTTTCATGGATAGGATGTCCTCTAAGATGTCGTACGGATCTAGTGAATTCACCACTGATGGTAACCTTTTTCGTCATGGCTTCTTAGTGGCTCCCATTGCTTTGAAGGGCTCCACAATCACCATTGGCTCCTGCGTCCTTATATATTTTGGTGCTTTTTGCGACTCGTCTACGCTTTCATCCTCCGGGCGTCTTGGTCAGCTCCTATTTTTCACTATCGGCGTGGTGGCCCCCAGAGTGTATGCTTCCTCTTCTTTTTCTTTGTATTCTTCCTCAACCTCTTCCTCGTAACAATATTGCACCTGCGGGGTTACAGTCTTCGGAGGTTTTTTAAATACTTTTCCTTCGGGGCATCGTCGAGCTATATGGTCCTCTTTCCCGCAGCTGTAACAAACTAAGCTCTTCCTCTCTTTGTTTTTCCACTCTTGTGGTGGTTTCCTCCTCGGATTCGAGTGGCTTAAGATAAGCTCTTTGATTTGTCTTTCGAGCCTCTTTATGTTAGCTTCTGGTTGTTTCATTGTACCCTTTACTCTTACTCAGGTTTGTCGTTCGTAGTAGTTTCCCGCTTCCACTCTCCGCGTCGCCGTGATGGCTCTGCTAAGTCCTTCGGCGATGTCATGGTTACGAATGTAGCAGTGTTACTCTTCAGACCGTTTAGAAACATCCTTACAACATAATCACCTGGAATCGTTCCTTTCGGGTCCACCCTGGTAAGCAAGCGTTTAAACTTCGTTGCGTACCCATCCATTTTCTCATCACTGCGTTGGCTTAATTCATTCAACTCTATTTGCCACCTGTGCCACTTCTCTGACGTGGCGAAATGCTCTATGAGTGCATGCCTGAAATTCTGTGTCACCTCCATATTGTCTTTCCATGCAGTAATTCCGGCTTTGTTTTCTTTGTACCAGTTAGCCGCTAGGCCTATCATATATCCCAGAGCCACCCTAAGCTTTTTCTCGTCTTTCCAGTCATTGACCTCTGCGACTCTTTTGAACTCCTCCAGCCATTCTACCAGATCGTCGTCGTCTTCCCTGGCGAACGTCCTTGCCCTTGCTGGGTCTGTTCCTTATGTCCTATTTGACTTGTTAACTATATCGTCCAGAGACCAAAATACACCTTGCATCAACTGCTAAAACTGATTATCCTTCATTTTCTCGATCCACGTGATGAGTATCCTTCAGCCGCAGCTCTTGTTCGTTAGTTCCCTATACGCGTGTCACGACTTTTTTTTTTTTTTTTTTTTTGATTCCTAATACAGCAGTAGCTTGATCCCAAACAAAAAAAACCGAAGGGGACGTAGTGTGCCTCTACTTAGATCAAGTGTGGTTGTGATGTATGTGCCGGTATAGTATATATGCCTGAATACTATATCCAAATACACAAAAGAATACCAAGTGCGTCTACCTAGTGGACGCATTCGAAAAAAATATCAGGAGGGAAGGTATTGCGCGTCGCAATGGTGTTCAAATCTCACAGTCACCGCCAAAATGTTACGGTGAAAACACAGCGAGTCAGTTACTTCAGTCTAACTCACGTCGTGTCATGTTTGAGTGGGTTCTTGCTTCTCAAAAGAGGTGTGTGAATTTGGCCAGAGTCTGGTAATGCCAATGCAGATCAGTCCGTTGGTCTGCGTTCTATCAAGTTACTTCGCATGCAGTAGTTTCTTTTATTACACTACACTGGGAATATTCTCACCAAACCAAACTTTATCAAGAAAGACAATCTTTATTACGCAAGTAGAACTTGTTA